TCTAAATTCTCTTGCAATGAGGGAGGATAGGGAGCTTCTAGCTTTTCAATATCTTCTTCCAGATTTCGTATTGAATTATGTTGTGCATTTCAGTTCAGCGGTAAAGCAGTGGGAATTCTTGGTTTGGGAAGGATTGGTTCAGCAATAGCAAAGAGAGCTATAGCATTTGGGTTTCAGTTAGTTACCATTCAAGAAGTGAAAAACCAGAACCAGGTATAAGTATACTCCAAATATCTTACTGGCAGCCAATTCTGAAATCCTTGTTGTTGCTTGTGCTCTTACCAACGAGACCTATCACATTGTTAATCGTGAAGTTATCGATGCATGGGGACCAAAAGGCATACTCGTCAATATTGGGCGAGGGAAACACGTCGATGAACCTGAGCTTGTGCGTGCACTAACTGAAGGAAGACTAGCTGGGCTGGGCTTGATGATGGTTTGAAGATGAACCAGAGGTGCCTGAACAGTTATTTGGCCTTGAAAATGCTGCTCTTGCTTGCCTCATGTTGGGACTGACACGATCGAAACCTGCAAGGCAATGGCGGAACTGTGATTCAAAACTTAGAGCACATTTCCTCAACAAGCCACTTCTGAATCCAGTAATTTGATTGAGGTCTATGACTTTAGTTTCTAAAATTTTTAAAATGTTTCCCTTTCCAACATTTCATCACACTGAAAATAGGTTCAAACTAGTATTTCTGGAAATTGGCATGTATCATTCTTAGAAATTCAAGAACTTTGATAGAACATGGATGTAGACGAAAGTTATGTAAAGTTTCCTGAGTGAGAGGTATTAGGTTCACTAGCGTTAATACGATGACTTGATATTTTTCACAACTTAGCGCTAAAGTATTGAAGAATTTGATTGCTGATATCTAAAAAACTTGCATCTTTGGCAGCACATTTACATTATGGGATGTTGACTTCGCACCCAGTTGAAAATGTTTCTCACTATGTATTCTGCAGGAGTTCCCTCTGTATGGGATATTGAGTGGTGAAATTGGTTTCGCACCTGGCAGTAACTGCTATTATTGATGCTTCACCAACTTGCCACATTTTTTTTTTTTCTAATCAGAAGCTGAAGCAATTTAGGGTGAGCAGCTATTTAGAAAAGCCAATTTATTGATACTTTTTACCATGGATCGGCTTGGATGAGCCGACTCACTTTCCCGAAGACTAAAACGGCCCTATGAACAGTGTTTTGTGTTTTGTGGCTGCAAGGAAGCCGTGGTGGAGCCTTGACATGTGAGAACAGTTATTACAGGAATATTGATATATTATTGATTGATTGATTGATTGGTGATTGATTTCTCCGCATGAACGGTCTTCATAAGGGTGCTGCACTTATTTTCATGACATTAGAAATGGAAGTGGCTGGCCAGTGAAGATTTTGATGCCGTCTGGTTTAGTGTCACAAATTTTTTAATTTTATTTTACTCAATTTTTGGGCCAGGATATTTTTTATCGGACTAGAAATCAGTTGTGATTTAAATGATTTTTTTTCTTATTTTAAAGACAACAGTCGGAAAATTTTCATTGATCCTTCTATTATCCTCAAATCTGATCTGTGTTCCCCATTATCAGATTGAAGGACAGTTACAGTTACAGTCACCGTTACACTATCACAGTCTTTTCAGTTTCATGCTTTTAGAGAAGGCAGAAATTATAATACATTAAGTACTAAACATAATCTTTTTCTGGTATATATCTGTCTTGAAAATCAGATAAATTTTAGATATGTAGTTGTTAGAGCCAGCTATTCTTCAAAACCCAGAAAGGTCCCTGTGTCACTTTATGTATGTCGTTACACAAAAGAAGCAAGAGGAACTGACCCAAGCTGGCACCCAAGAACAGAGACAAGGGATAGGATGAGAGTATTCCAAGCAGGAAATCGCTGCAACGGGCCAAATTCCTTCGTCTTTTCTCCCTTCAACTTCTAACAACTCTTAGCCTTAAATGCCCTAATAGCATAACAAGCATGCATTATTAAAACTCTCCATCACTCTCCATGATGACATTTATCCAACTAACTGTTGTTGTTTTTGCCCTTTTTTTTTAAGTTATTATTTTAGTAGTGACTTGATATTATGACAAGTATTTTAATTTAAGATGAAATTAGTTTTATTGATGATTGTTTTCCATTGCACTTTAATTTATTTGTAAGCGATATTTAAATGATGCGAAGGAAAGATTTCCTGCAATAAGGATCTTCGGCTGATGTAATGCTGATATCACGTTTTGTTTTCCTTTGAAGATACAAGGCCATGAATAATTATGACATATTGGGTTATTCCCATATCTGCCGTCCGTACTATTATATATGTAGTTCTTGGTTGGACACCATTTAGTGGCCTTTTGATTAGATCGTACTGCATGGTTATGTTTTTCGCCACTAAGCTATTCTATTATCTTCTGTACATATTTAACTAATCTGATTATATTAAAAGAATTAAATAATTTAGTTAATTATAAGAAACATAATATATTTTTTTCAAAACACTATAATTATTTTTCTTAATACCCTTTCTCTCTCTCTCACTTGATTATAATTGAGGAAGTATTAATGAGGATAATTGAAAAAAATTTATAAATATAAAAAATAGCTCTTACATTTAAGATTAAAATCAACTCAATAATTAAATCATATATTAAAAAACGAATACATGATTAGTGGAATCTATAGGTGACATATTTTTAACCACAAAAGGCTTAACTTGCCAATCAATTTATTATTTTTCGGGTAGCGTTAGCAAAATTAGTCAATTTTTTATTTAATAAAATTTTTGTTTGGGTTTAAAGAGTAGACGCCAACATATTACAATTATAATCAAACTCACGACTTCCCATATATAAGATACTCTTTCGGTCTTAAATATAAGACCCTTATACTAGTGTACATAAAGGTTTTATATTTAGGACCGGAGAAATAGTATTTTATGCCATTAAACCGTGAGTTAGGCTTATTTAGCTAAATTCGGTTCAAACTTCAAAATGATGATTTTGACCATTCTATATTTTTTAACTTTATGAAGGTTGGCTGGCCTTAGAATTTAATTTATTTATATGACGCTGGTCCCATTTCTTAAACATCCTGTTCATTCTTGTGCCATGTTTCATTAAATCCCTTCTTAGCGTGACATAAAATATGCTTAATTCTTGTAACTTTTTCAAATATGCAACATCAGTTAATTGACTTATGCATTATGTAATTTGTTACATTTATGATTTTCTTATTTATTAACGTTGTCTGTATTAAGTAGCGAGTAGTCAAGTTGATCTTTTCTACACATATTTCTTAATTAAAGGGATTATATCATGCATCAATTATTAACATTCAAAATATTTACATATCTTCTGCATTAAGTTTTAGCCAAAGAAAAAGACATTACCCAAACTCAAGCTCTTTTTTTCTTTCAAATATAAGATGGAGTGATATACCTCGACTTAAGACTGCGTACGCTTCTCACTTCAAAATTAAAGTTGTAGCAACAAGCAGAATTAAATAGACGCTGACAAATATGCCGTGACCCACAGTCTGATTAGATCACATTTTCCATATATTAAACAAACTAAAGTAAGCTGCCGACACTCACCAGCCAGCCTCCTCTGTTTCTGTCTGTTTATGAGGTTCTGGTCACTTCTCTCTCTCACTAATCATCATCCCTTACCTTCTTTACTCTTCAGCAGCATTTTATCCTCTTCGTTGGGCATTCTCACTTCTTCATTCCATGCACTCATGCACACTGACACAGTGACACAGAGAGAGTAAAAAGCACAGAACTTTCTGGGTTTTGCTTTCTGGGTTATATTCATTTTGTTCAGAACTGTTGAAAAAATTTTCTAGGTGCCACTCAATGTCCGTGTAATTGTCAAAGTTAGCTCCTTTTCCTGGAAATAGTCTTTCACTAACTGGGGTTTTGGTTGAAATCCCCTTCTTTATCACCATCATCATCATGCTTTCGGCGAAGTCAGAATCAGATATTACGAGTTTAGTATCTTCTTCACCTTCAAGGTCTCCCAAACGACCTGTATACTACGTGCAGAGTCCGTCAAGGGACTCTCACGATGGGGACAAGTCGTCGTCAATGCAAGCGACTCCTATATCCAATAGCCCTATGGAGTCTCCTTCACACCCTTCTTTTGGGAGGCATTCAAGGAACTCGTCTGCGAGCAGATTTTCTGGGATTTTCAGGTCATCTTCAGGCAGAAAAGGAGGAAGCAGAAAGAGGAATGACAAGGGCTGGCCTGAGTGTAATGTGATTATGGAAGAAGGTGAATATGATGAGCTCAAAGAATTGGCCTTCACCAGACGAGTCCAGGCTCTGATTGCTCTGTTCAGCTTCGTTGCTCTCTTCACTGTCTTCTGCTTGATCATTTGGGGTGCTAGCAGGCCTTTCAAGACAGAGTTTACCGTCAAGGTCAGTCTAAATTCAAAACAATATCCTTCAATCTCACCACTAGAATTTCTGATTCCTGTGGATTTTCTGCATTTTCATAGTTACAATTTACTGTCTCTTTTTACTAAAACTGTCTATAAACTAAGTTGATAAAGTTATTGAAGTAACTAAAGGTGTCTTGGAGAAGGACGAAAGGGAAAACAAGGAAGTACGGTTACTAGTTAGTCTCAGAATTTCTGGTTATGGATAGCAAAGTACGGTTACTAGTTAGTCTCAGATTTCTGGTTATGGATAGCAACCTTATCATATTAGGATGCACTGTGACACTATTTTGCAGAGCTTGACAGTACATAATCTGTATGTTGGGGAAGGTTCAGACTCCACAGGAGTACCAACAAAGTTGCTCACAATAAATGGATCATTGCGGATAAATGTGTATAACCCTGCCACTTTTTTTGGAATCCATGTTCATTCCTCTCCCATCAATCTCCTCTTTTCTGATATCACAGTGGCATCTGGTCAGGCGAGTAACATCATCATTTATTACTGATTTACCAAATTCAAGCAATTAATATAACACACAATATATATATATATGTATCTAATTGTTCATGATGTGTTTGGATGCAGCTAAAGAAGTATTATCAGCCCAGAAAAAGTAAGAGAGTTGTATCAGTGAACTTGGAAGGAAACAAGGTTCCACTATACGGGGCTGGATCAACTATTACACCGTCCCAAACAGGGGTTGTTGTTCCTCTCACACTGAAGTTTGAGATGAGTTCAAGAGGAAATGTAGTTGGCAAACTTGTGAGGGCAAAGCGCTACAAGGAAATTACTTGCCCTTTGGTTCTCAACTCTTCCAGATCCAAACCCTTCAAGTTCAAGAAGAGTTCTTGCATCTATCAATGAGTTTTCTTTTTGTGTTGTGTTGTGAGTTGTGGGCCTTTTTGTGCAAATTAATTTATGGTTGTAAATTGTGAAATACGCATAAGCATGAAATGTTGGATCTGTATGTGATTTTGATTGCTGGTGAAGAAGCCATTTAATGATCTTTTAACGTCTGGTTTATATACACACACAAAAATTTTCATCCTAATTATAAGAACTAGTTGACTAATTTAAAAAGATTAAGGAAAGAAATTAAGTTAGTTATTTGTAATAAATAGGTCTTGTCTTTTCTAAAATATCCTTGCTAATCAAGTGTATTAGCTAGAATTACTATTGTTAGAAAAATTATATTGGGAAAAAATACATAAATATGAAAGACAAAGTGGATTGGGATCTTATATTTAGGATCAAGATAAAAATCAAACATTTAAACAAGATCTTATATTAAAGACAGGATGTAGTATATATATATATATATACTCCTCCGGTCCTTATTATAAGACCCAATTTGACTTTTTATTTGGTCCTAATTATAAGACCCAATCCATTTTGTCTCTTATATTTATGCATTTTTTTCCAAGATAATCCTTCTAATAATGATAGTTTTAGCCAATATACTTAATTAGTAAGGATATTTTAGGAATGACAACACTTATTTATTATAAATAACCAACTTAACTTACTTCCTTAATCTCCTCAAATAAGTCAATTGGGTCTTATAATTAGGACCGGAGGAGTATATATAATGGCAGACCATGAAAGACCCACCTTTAATAATTTAGAGAAGAGAAGATCATTTACCCGGAGGAAAAAAAAGATCGATCCCACCACATGGCCACTCAAAAAGATTATTTACGTTAACTTCTTCGTATCTATTGTGTCAAGTGTCAATTGTACCAAGTCTCATGATTTATGGACATTGTACTTTAAATGTTGTTTTAATATAATTGTCTTTTTATATAAAAAAAATAAAAATAAAAATAGAAGATATAGAATGGAGCAAGCGGTAGAGAGAGAATTTTTTTTAATGGGTCCTTTTTTTTTTGTTACAATTTTAATGAATCTTTTGTTTCAAGAGTTTCAGTTAAGTAAACGTTGATGGAAAAAAATTAGGGACTTAATATTTTAGTCGAAGATGTTCCTCAATAATTTCAAACAAAATTAGATAGTCGATTTCAAAATATGTTATAATATTTTCTTCATGATTTAGACATATCAGAAGAAACCTAATAATCTGCGAAATAATCCAATATATCAAAACCTGTCTAATAATAAATCTCTCAAGGGGGAAAAATTAGTCTGCAAAATGACCAATGATTTTTCATAACGAATTAGATTGGAATTTTTTTCCCTTTTTTTTTGGAGTAAACGTTGCAAAATGACAAACACAGAACACTGAAAAAACCTAAGATTTTAGGCCCAGACGGCCCAATAAAAATTGGCAACGTTTACTCCAAAAAACAAAAAAGAATTACCTGTATGTACCGATCTCGGAGCCGCCCATGAAATTGAGCATCAATATATTAATTTCACAATTTGCCCTTAGAACGCGAAGGATGACACACGGTTTAATATAATGATTAGTCCTCATAGTTTATATTTATTTTAATTTTGGTCCCTAAAGTTTGAAATTCTTGGTTTTCGTCCTTTAAATTTACATTGTTTAAAACGATGGTCCTTGGTCCTTGCGTTTTCAGAAAGACTTAGGCTTAGATTTAACAGCGTCAAATATGCTTATGCGTTACTAGCACTGTTAAAAATACTGAGGTGGACACTGACCGGCCTATATGTCAATATGACATGGCTTTTAAGAAGGAAAAAAATGGCCCTCTCCTCGCCCTTAAAAGCAAGGTCCTCCCCAACGGTGCAAAACATTTGCTAGGATCATCTTGCATGATAGACTTACAACTAGCAAAACGAAGCAACGAAGGAATCTCCATCCTACTGGCAACTGTGATAGATGCAAGCTGTTTGAGGAGGACTGCGCTTCATGCACTAAGAGATTGCAAAGAGACTAGGGAGTTATGGAGAGATATAATAAAACCATCTTACTGCAACAGGTTTTTCTCAGGCTCTTTGACTGAGTGGTTTCATCTGAATATGAAGTGCTCGGTGAGTCAACAAACTGGGTACTGGAAAGGCCTCTTTGTTATCATTTGTTGGCTTATCTAGCGAGATCGAAATGATCGGGTACACAATAATTCTTGTGCTGACATCTCCAGCATTCAAATTTTGCGTGGTATGGGAAGCGCACATGCCAAATTGGCAGGAACTAATCTGTCAAAAACTAAGAATCGTGACAGTCCTAGAAGGTTTTCTTCTGATGACTGTGAAGTTTGTGCTTGTGGAGGTGTTCTCAAAGATATTAATGGGTTAGTCACGAAAGGCTTCTAGCTCAGATGTCATACGGGCGACTCGCTATCTGCAGAAATTTGGGGCTGTCTCATGGGCCTTAAACGTGCTTGGGATGGTGGTTGTAAGAACATCCTCCTCGGGTGTGATTCGCAAGAAGCTTTGCACCTGATACAAAATGAACTACCGGATCTACATGAGGATTCTCAACAAATCAAAGAAGTCAGAAGCGTGATGAATCGAAGTTGGCACGTGGCTCTGGTCTATCTTGACAGGGATGATAATGGAATAGCAGACTGCCTAGCTAAGGCCGCCTTATCAAACTGCTATGGCCTCCAGATTCTTGGTCCAGAGGCTGTGAAGTACATCATGCAATTGCAAGTAGCTACTGGAACTTAATTTTTTGTGTGTTTCTTGTTTCAGCTCTTTGTTTTTTACTTCCAGAATGTCAAAAAAGCAAGCTCAGGTCCCCCATTGAGTACTTTAGCTATATGCATATTGATTCGATGAAAATTACAGAGATTCCACAGCCATATCGTATAAAATTATATATACAAGGAGGATTCCAAGAAATATATAATTGATTATTGAAGGCCTGGGAGATTGGAATGGTACTCTAGATTATTAGTGGTAGCCCTTATGTTGTTAATGGGCACTTTGGTCTACTTTGTTTTCCTATTAAAAAACAGGGCAGGTCCTCCTCACAATCATGACAAACGTATGGTCCTTTGTCTGTCACTTTTTTATTTCATTCCTCACATACAGAAGTGTTGGAGTTGGGTCCTTCTTCTATCTTTAGTTGAGTTTCACAATAAGTGGAAGGGTGGAGGTGCAATCACGTGAATAGAAGATCGGCGAAGGTGTTGTCAGCATATACAAGCACCATAGGTTCCAAACAACAAAGAGGAACACTGTTCATCATCATCTTCGCTGGTGAACCAGTGACGTCGACCATGAGAGGAGGAGAGAGGAGAGAACCATTCTTCTTCATTGTTTGAGTTTAAGTTTAAGCTGAGTCGTCTTCATAGGAGAAGCAACGACGTGGTCGACTAGGAAGGGCAAATTGAGGGCCTTTGTTTTTTTTTTTCCTCCCTTTAAAGCCATGTCATATAGTTCAGTCAGCATCCACCTCAGTAGTGTTAACGGTGTTAATAACACATAAGCATGTTTGACAAGTCTTTCTAAAAATATAAGGATCAACGTTTTAAACAGGATAAACTTAAAAGACCAAAATCAAGGGTTTCAAATTTAAGAGATCAGAATTAAAATTAATATAAATCATAAGGACTAATCATTATATTACCTTAAAATACATAATAAAATCAACAAGTTGTTGATTGAGATTGTCAGTAGTCTTATTTCCATAAGAAGAATACAAATTTAAATTTCGGGAAGCATATTTATTAAGATGACTTTCATCTTAATACTCCCGATCTAAATATACCTTGAGTTGGGGGAAAAAAAAGCAGAGATAAATAACAAAGGTACCAAGTTTCTTTTTGTTGGCCAAAAAAGGTGCCAATTTTATTTCTTGATAGAAGTACCTGATAAATTATGTTAAGTTGTTTGATTTTCTAGATGGTTTTGTCATTATATTTAAATTTTAGCCGGTGGAGGTGCAGAGATTTTCAAAACCCATGTACTCTTTCTTTTCAATCTGCTCCACCATTTCTGCTATGCCCACGCCACCTGCAAATAATTACATTAAAAAAGAAAGCAAGACATAATACGAATTAATTAATAAGAATTTGATAGTATTTAAATAATAATTATTAATTAATAAGGATACTTGCCTAGTAATATTGCACTCACAAAAACCGTGGAGGCTAAAATGAAAATGATCAAAGAAGCTCTGCCTATTATGGCTACCAGCTTCTTCACCAAATATTGTCCTGAAACTGCGGCTATAACGGCTACTCCCGCAAAATAAAGTGCTGCAAAAAGTTTTGGTTTTTTTTTTTCAAGAGTACATATATAAAAATAGATTACTATAATATACTACCTCCAGTCCTTAATATAAGACTCCGTTTGACTTTTTGTTTGGTCCTAATTATAAGACCCTAATCCATCTTTTCTCTCATATTTATGCATTTTTTTCCAAGATAGTCCTTCTAATAATAATAGTTCTAGCTAATATACTTAATTAGCAAGGATATTTTAGGAATGACAACACTTATTTATTATAAATAATTAACTTAACTTACTTCCTTAATCTCCTCAAATAAGTCAACTGGGTCTTATAATTAGGACCGGAGGTAGTATATAAGCAGCGAAAATAATTATCAGTAATCTTTGTTAAATTTATATACTTACTGTAAGGAATTGGAAATCGTTTCAGAAGGTAATATTCCACCACCGACATTGATGCAGAAAATGCCATGGCAAAAGTCGATGTGGCACTTGACACCTGCATATAAGTTTAGGACATCAAAAAGATGTATATAATTAAATTAAATCAGTTAATTGTTAAAAAAATGTTAATTTCTCTAAAATATGCCTTTTAATTGTTTGTATTGGGAATTACTTTATTAATGTAAATTTCTCTTAATAGGCGCAATCAAAAGAAAAGTTTAAAGAAAAATGAGAGAAAATCATTCTCAAGTCATAAGAAAAGAATATAAGCACTAAAGACGCCAATGACAAAAGAGTAGCATATACCTTGTTATAATTTCCTGTATTAAAACTTGTTACGAGACTTTTTAGTAATTACATTCTTTTTTTAGAATCTTATTGTGATCCCAAAAAATTACTCCTCTGGTTCTTAATATATGACATAATTGTTGAGTTGGTTTTGGTCCTAAATATAAGACATATTTC